TGATAAGAATAGAGTCTATTTCATTTAATAAATGTTTTGTTTTGATATACAAGTTGTTCTGGGTTTTTCATCTAAAAAAAGCAACATTAATTTCTTGAGGACATAATATTTAGCATTTGATCTTAGAATTTAACTGCTGCTATTATTTCAAAATGTCTTTTTTCATCAATGGCAACTCTTTGCTTTTACTAATAAGACAATCTTAAATTAAGCTAACACTACAATGTTTAAAGATGGCATGTTTTGGTCTGAGACTGATAACACTATAAAATGTTTTAAGTTTCATGCCAAATAAAATACAATAATGAGGTATGTATAGATGTATTTTTTGCTGTTGTTTGCATAATTAAACTACAGTAGGTTTAACAATAACAATTCCCAAATACATATATATCTTACATACCTTAAAATACAGATGTGTTTTTCAATTAACATTTATGAAAAATAAATTGGAGTTATATATATTTTGAACTTGGCTCTCTCAATGTCATCTATTTACATCTATATTATGTTTCAAATCAAAAGCCAGTTACATCCACCCTGAGCTCAAAATTAAAAGCCACTTACATCAGTGTTAAGCTCACGTCAAAAGCCAGTTACATCCATGCTAAGCTCACAGTCAAAAGCCACTTACTTCTATGGTAAGCTTAATATCAAAAGCCACTTACATCCATCTAAGCTCAAAATCAAAAGCCACTTACATCCATGCTAAGCCAAATTAAAAGTCACTTACATCCACATTAAGCTTAAATTTAAAATCAAGCTACATCACATAGGGAAACCCATGGCTTATCATGCTAAGCCAAATTAAAAGTCACTTACATCCACATTAAGCTTAAATTTAAAATCAAGCTACATCACATAGGGAAACCCATGGCTTAAAGTTTTCAGCATTTTTATATAATTTTTATTATTAAGTTGAAAGTCAAAAGCCATTTACATGTAGGTTAAATTCAAAACTTAATTTCAGTTATATCCATTTTAGGTTTAAAGTGAATTACAATTAAAGCCTTTTAAGTTTATAATTAACTCATAATGACTCTACACAGCATTTAATATATTTCTGTTACATCTGTAATAAGATTAAAATTAACTGGCAATTTATATCTTACAATGCTCAAATATAACATGAGAGTCATTGCCATATTATGTTTAAAAATTAACTGACAGTTATAACCATTTTTCTTTTAAATGGAACTTGACAGTTACTGTTAATGTATAATAAAATTAACTTCACAGTTGTAGAGCAATATTACATTCAAAACATCGTACAAAAATTTCCTTGACAGATGCAATTCTATAGGTTCAAAATTAACTAGATAAATGAAATCATATTATGCTTAAAAATTAACTAAAAGTCCTAATGTTAGTCAAAATTAACTAACAGTTACACCTATTTTTAACTGAAAATAAACTTCACCACTGCATCAACGTAAGTTTGAAAAGTCAACTCACCATAATACCCAAATTAATCTGCTTATCATCTGGTGGTGATATAATATCAAAACGAAAAATTTGTTTTGAGATGGTGTTTGGAGGGCGAGCATCGTCTGAAACCTACACAGGCAGCAAAGAACAAAATGCACTCACAGAAGATAGATTAGAAGTGAAAACTGGACTATTTTTGTTTTACTGATATTTGGAATTTAAATTGCAGCCAGCAATCTTATACAGAAAAACATGCTGAAACATTAACATCCACAATGCTAGTTCTTTTTGTTCTATCTTACATCACAAAAAAGTTTTGAAAACATCACTATGTACCAACACAAGAGGAGTAAAAAACACACTGCTATCAAATGCACTCTTTTTAAGAACTAATTACATAAGATATGTCACAAATTATGTAAGTAACTAAATAAATAACTCTTATTCTAAAATATTGCATCAAAAAAGTTATATTAATTGATCTTGGTCAATGGAACTACATTTATCATAAAATCAAGCAGACCAGTGACACTGTAGTCAAATGCACAGCCAAGTACATCACTGACAACAGAATCAACATAAAGTCAGAGATAAGGTAAGATACATTTTAAATAAGCAAGAAGTCAAGCAAGTTAGTAAAACTTTGCCTAATAGAAGGTCAAGTACATTAGAGGCACTACAGTGAACAGGAGGTCAAGCAGGTCATAGACACTAGTTGAATACAAAGCCAGAAATGTTTCAGTTAAACACCAGAATAAAACAGTGATACTCAAAGTGTATCAAGTCAGACAAATCACTGACAAAAGATTAAATAGATCAATAGCATTTTAGTTTTTTTATCACATAAAAGTAATCATTGACATAGCAGACAATCACAATATCAAGAAAGTGACTCTTTAGTTGAATATTACATGATATATTACATCAAAAATAACAATGAAATTAAAGATAAAGAAGATCAAATGCAATATCATGTAAGTAAGTGACACTTTATTTACATAAAACAACCAGTGACACACATTATGTTTCTAGTCAAAGATAATCAGTGGTATTGCACAAAAACATATGACCGAGCAATATTACTTAAATGTTTGGTCAAAGTACCAGTGACACAACTGATATAGCAGGTCAAAAATAAGAATGACACTGAAGAAAAACAAAACCAAACATGTAAGTAACACGTTATGTTAATATACAAGGTAAAAAAAGGAATGCCACTACAAACAAACTAAACAGGTGACACTTTATGTAAATATGCAAGTTAAAAAAAGGAATGACAATGCAGACAAACAAAACCAAACATGTAATTAACACTTTATGTTAATATACAAGGTAAAAAAGGAATGCCACTACAAACAAACTAAACAGGTAAGTAGTACTTTAAGTAAACATATTAGGCAAAAAATAAGAATGGCACTGAAGACAAACCAAACATGTAAGTGACACTTTACTTATATATATCAGATCAACATAACAGGTGACACAAGTTATGTGATAGGTCAAAATTTACAATAACTTTATAGAGATAAATGAGTTTAAGCAGGTTAATTAAGTTAGTAAGTTATTATGTTGAAGCGGTCAATAACAGGTTATGTTTATCTAGTCAAATACACCAATTATACAATAGTGAAATATAAGTTCAAGCAAGTTGGTGACATTTCAAACTGTAGGTCAAAGTGACTAGTGACACAAGTTACATATCTAGTGAAATATATCAGTGACATAAAACACAAATACAAATTCTGGTTAAACATAAAGTGAAAATAACCACTGACATATGTTATTTGATAAGTAAAAAATATCACACAAACACAAAACAAATAGAACAATGAAAGTGTAGATATTTATTAGCTCATACTTAACAGTACAACAGAGTATATATCAAATCAAATGTCAGTGACACTGTGCACAAACATACTATCAAGCAAGTCAATATTATTGACAAAAAAGAGGATGCTGATACAGTGCTTAAAAACATTATCCAAGATATAAATCATCTTTATCAAATATGATCATCTACAGGATTTCTTTGCTATCATCTATTTATTATTACTATTTCAACCTCTATGGAAGTACTTTTAAAAGATGAACATGCATTAATTTACTTGATCTATGGATCTATTACCTGAAATTCAAACCCATCTACTGTAGCCTCTGTTCCAGAATTTTGGTACCAGATCACTCCATCATTGATATCTTTTTGTGTGAAATCTTTTACTTCACTATATACTTGTTGGTCATTAAAGTTTTGAGTATCTGGAGACCTTCTAACCAAAGTACCTGATGAATAAGTTATTAAAATATTGTGTTATAAGTTTCCTAAATCATAACGTAATCTTTCATACAATAAAATCCTTTATGGTAAAAAATAGAAGTTATTACATGATTGCTAAGTAACAAAATTGTTTTTTTTTCTGAAAAATTCTAATGAATCTTTTAAAAAACTGAAACTATGCAAACCCTTTAAAACAACCAGATGAAAACAACAGATTATATCTGTTTAAAATTTAAATGAAATTTACATAGTAACAGTCAGTGTGGAGAGTTGTCTGCTATTTGGTAAGTCATTTGGTACAAGCACCTGCCTCAGAGCACTAGTATTAGCTGAACATCCAGGGTTCAAGCTCTGGTCAAAGCAAATTTCTTAACATCCTGATATGTTATATTGAGCAGATTTTAATCAGTTCAGCTGTATGCATGCTTGACTCAAAAATTGGCTTGGTGTGCATGAAATAGTATTTTTGGCACTTGGTTTGAAGTGTCGTGTTGTGTATATTTGATTAGCTAACTGCTAGGCTATAACTGCACCCCTCCCCCACCAAAAAAACAAAACAAGAACAAATAAATAACAAATTGGTATACATTATACAATCATTTTAAAAAGAAAAAAAAGGTAATTTAGATTTATTTTGTATTTTTCTAACTTTTCATTGTACTTTATACTACTTATTTTGCAACGGTTAGTGTTAGAGTAGAGAAAATAACAGACAAAATAGAAAGTTTTATTGAAAAAACCTTTGATATTCATTTAGAAAGTTCTAGAGGTTATGCAAATGAAACATGAAAACTGTAAAATGAAAAAGTATCTTCATTTGTAACATGAAAATCACCTTGCATGCAGATTATTTAGAGTCAAACTGACACTATAAATTTACAGAAAAATGTTTATTAAAAATTATAATTTTTTTTGTACAACATGTTTGTAATGTTTACTAAAAGATTATCACATTACATGAAGATTACTGAAACATTGCTATGTATAGCTTCACAGAAATGGGGGGGAGGTTCGTGTAATGAACCAATGATGTACATGTAGGGTTAAATTGTCAAAAATAATGTAAATTTTAATAATAGAAGTGAAATAGTTACTACAGTTTTATTAAAATGATCAATTTTGTATACTTTAAGAAGTGAAAGGCAAACCAAAATGTGATTTGATTCTATTTTATGTAATTTTTTTTTTGTCCTTTTTTAAAGGAATTTCTGAGCACTTAATTTAAGACAACAGATTGCCTAATACTAGGAGTGTATTTTGAAACTGACTTAATACTGTATGTTGGTATGAGGAATAGCACAAAAACTATATATTTTAACAGGCTTTATATTTATCTTGCTTTACAAATAGAACTTGTGTGAGCTGTCCTGGCACATTAATCCTGTACTGGACCTGGATAACATTATAAATATTGTTGTAGTGTAGTCACTGTACACTGAAAAACAATTAGTTTACAAGCTTAGTTACGATATTTACCTTCTAAGTTATTGGTGATACATACTGATCTGTTTGTGATAGAATTCACTAACATTTTTCATTTCTAACAGATAACTAGAATTAATTATCCTAAACAGCCTCAGGCTCATAACAGTTGACATATGTTTTCATTTAATTTTGTTTTATTGCTCTAGCTATGAATCGTGTCTGCATAACCTGCACAAAACCTGCATAACAAGCTAGAAATCACCGAACAAATGCATTGCTCAACTTATGGTACTGAATTATGCAATGCACAAGCTTTTTGCATTAATACTTACTTACTTACTTACTTACATTAGTATGTACTTACATGTGGGTATTACTTTTTTGCGATCAAAGTGTAAATAAATTTTTGGTAGAGTTCTTGTTAGTATTTTACTGAATTTTCATTTATTTCAAATATTCAATTTAGAAAACAAAATAATAACATACACAAAGAATACAACATACTATAACTATTATAATTTAACTGGATTTTTAATTAAGCTATAAGTAAGTTAAAATAATTGCCAGGTAAGATTGATCTGAACTCAGCGATAGCAACTTTAAATTTGTAGGTCAAATAATTAGAAAGTTATCATCAAAACAAGATATCTTCAAGCATAAATCATTAACTTAAAATGTTTTCTTTCTAATGGTTATTTCCCCAAAAGGGGCCAATGGCTGCCTGGAAAGTCACCTGTTTTAACCACTCAAACTACAATACAGTAGAGTGTTGTCTGTCAATCAGTCAATAGACACTAAAATGACACCACATAAGGGACACTTAACATTGCAACTTGTACTGTAACACCATCAGTAAAACATACGCACCATGAATCACAAGAAGAATTATGCACTCTGTAGGCTACAACACAGCATGACATACAAACTTCAAAAGTAAGAAATAAAAATATTTGTTACTCTTCATTTTGGTTTTATTTGCTTTCAGAACAGAACACTTTTAGAGACCCTGCAGAAGTACATCTAGTAAATAATGTAATAGCAAAGGTCTAAGAAGACTACTGACATTATTTTGAAGACATTATATGATAAGAGAGCATATCAAATGGATTTGACTTTCTAGTTTACATCTCAATAAAAGAAGAAGACTGGATGCTATAAAATTTGATTATTTCATAGAAATACCAATATTATAAGTTTGCAAGTTGTATTAAAACTCAAAAGCTTAAATAGAGGTGGAAATAATATTTACAATGGACAATTCAAAGCAAAAAAGTGTCAAATAATAAACAGAAGAGAAGATTAAGAATTAATCTAAATATTTCCCTTTGAAACTAAGAAATTAAAACTTATATAATATAGAAATGTGGATAATAAACTATATTTTGATGCCAGGTTTATTGACAAACACTAATAATAAAGTTGTTTAATTTGTCAGGTTTTTATAGGATCGAGATTCTTTACAGTAGGTGTCTGTGACTTGTTGGTGATAAATTTCAACAATAAACAAACAGAACACAATCTACTTGCTTTAAAATAATATATCCCGAACAAGTCAATTGTATGTACAAAATTTTGTTACACTATTGGCTATCACAGTTGTAACCAAAGCTTTAAGTAATTGTCTTTTTTTTTTTTTTATCAAAGTCCACATTGGCAGGTTCAATTACTTTAGAACACCCTTTGACAAGACCAATTATTCCCCTCCACTCTGTTATTACAATACAAGGCTTTGGTACTCACTCTAAAATCACCACTATAACTGTTAGTTACCACAGTTGTATCCAGAGCTTTAAACAATTCTCTTTTATGTCAAAAGTCCACACAGGCTGGTTCAGGTACTTTAGAACTCAACTAACAAGATAAATTATTCTTCATTACTCTGTTATTACAATACAATCTGCAATTACTACTCTTTAAAAGTTGCCACTATACAAAACTCACAATCATCTAGTTTATATCTATCTCTATGTTTCACTAACCCTTTCTAACTTTCACTTTCACTAACTTACTTACTTGCACTAACTTGGTCACCTATCTATATATATATATATTGCCCGATTGAGGCCTAGAACTTTCTACAAAATATGAAACATTATGATATAACAATACTCACTTAAAGTAACAAGAAAAATTCTGAAGTTTCGAGTAACATGACGTGAATTCACAACAACTGAACTAACAAATGATTCGTAAACAGTTTTGTAAGCAAATTTGCCAAGACTATCGTTTCTAAAAATAACTTACTTTAACATTTGCATTATATAAACTAAATAATACTCTTGTATTAAACTTCAAATGAACAGTCATGTATATAACATAATTAAATTTCGAATATAGCTATTTAAAAGGGTTATGATATGCACACTTTGACCGAGTTGTGTACATGGGCATATCAGTGTGAGGTATTCAGCACCAATGACCTGACTGGCAAGAAAGGTCAATTTAAACCAGAACTAATTCAGATTAGACTTTAGGGACACAATAAATTAGATGATATCTTGACCTTGGCTTCCAGAAACTGTTTTTATTTAATACTGAAGTGCATGATGATACTGGAAAGACTAGAAATGTGACAACATGGGGGGATGACAAACACACACTAACAGCACTATATTGCCTAAATTACTAGCAGATACCAGCAAAAAACTGTTTCATTTGTAGTCAACTGTCAGAAAGACCTCAGAATAACTAACAAACAACGATTTATATAGTTTTCCTCATGACATATGGAAATCACATGTTTACCCTATTGAACATATCAATACAAAATAATAAATAACAATGTAATTCAAGATCATTTACTGTGACAAGGCAATCAATTCAACACTGAAGGCCCAGAAGGATTATTCTTAAGTTAACGTACGTGTTAAATATGTTTCTAAACATAAACCACTGTATGTAACTAATATGATGAAGAAAATATATAGTTATGATAATATTGACGTGAAATATTTAGTGAATATGTTTGTTTTGAGACACCAGCATCCCAAATTTAATTAATAAAATGCTGAAGTAGTATATCACAATAGTTTATGAGATTGCCACTTGATGAATTAATTTATCTATTCATCAATTTCCTCAGTCCAATTAACCTAACAGTCTTTGTCATGAAAGTCACTTTGCACCTGAAGTCAACTATGGCTAAAACACAGTGACTTTAAATTGTTTTAACAATAATATAAGCAATAAAACTCATTCCATATTTCTTATCATACTTACAAAATTTAATTATATTATTATTTTAAAGCTAAATATTTGAAATACCTTCTCTCACACTTTTCCCTTTAGTCACCGTGAATAGTATATTTTCATCACCAGTATCAGGGTCAGTAGTTTGAAGGTTAGCAGAAGTCAACTGTACAGAACTGCCTCTTTTTACCTTAACAGCCTCATTAGTCACTAGAACTGGTCCTTTATTTCCCTAGAAATATCATTATTCAAAAATCTTACAGATCTTGTAAAATAATCCTCAAATAAAAAAAACTGAATTAAACTTAAAACCCTTTAAATTAATAAATTTCATTTTCCCTGATACTTCACGAGAAAGAAGAATTCCCTCACATCTAAGGAAACCAAGCAAAGCTAAACAATTTTCACCCATCTCATCTACTCTTATAGCATCATGCTAGAAAACATACAAAGTTATGAACCATTTCAGATATACCAAATTGTGATTAATAACCTAAAAATATAGCACTTTATTCAACTTTTAAGATAGCAGGAATCACTAACAGCTGGGACATTATTTTATTTTATGCTAGTTTATACTTTTTTAGTCATTTATTAGATCTATACTGGTTTTACTGATTGTAAAAGCCAGAGGTTTCTTTTAGGTCCCTTTTTTTTTGAAGAAACTAATACTGTAGTTTCCAAGTATTAAATATGCTCATACATGCAAATTTTGGTGTTTTAAATTTGTTCTTTTTCAGCCAAGTTTCGGAATTGTTCCTTTTAACATTCTATAGTCTATGTATGTATCATCAGGAAAGAGTGAATTTCAATTTACCTAGAATTGTAAGTAATTTTGATACTAATCTACATAGAAAATGTACAAAAAATTTTGTGCTCTATTAAAAATAACAAATACAAAGATATGGCTAAAATTATATATAGCAAGAGTACAATTGTTGCAATCCAATGTAAAAGATTTGGTTGTTAACCAGCCAAAGCCAAAAAGATGAATAAACATTTAAGAAATTAACATAAATCCAATGGTTTTTGTTAAAATTATGCTAAATTATTTTTAAATTACTTAACCTCAAATTACAAATTTCCAAAGCAACCTACTGCTGGTAAGATTTGAATATTTAAAGTTGACAATTTGACATTGTAGCCATCAGAAATCTGAAGAATCATCAAGTCATACTGAGTCATTGAGCCATCGTGAATATAATGGAGTGATCCTCGTTTCAGAGCAGACCAAGAAAATGAAAACACTTCAGAGAGTTTTGGAAGATCAACTAACTTTCCATGCTTTGGACCTGTGAGAGTTGCAAGACAGAGTAAATGGTCATAAACATAAAATTATATTACAGCTAAATACACACTAACTTTGTGTACAAAAGAATTTCTAATTTTCTTATTGTTTCAGAATTTCAGAAAAACTATAATATATATATATGATAATGTTATTAACCTCAACATAACATTAAAGAAATGCTGATCATTTTTAGATTAATTCATGTAAATTACACACTACTAAACAAGCAATGATTATATCTTAATGCTGCACATGGAATTATATAATAATGAATAAATATTCACAATTTCTTTGCTCTAATACACATGAATTATACAGAATTAAAATCATTAATTTATTTCTTAATTTTACACAAGAAGAACAGAATATTGAAAAATGTTTATCATTTCTTAACTCTACACAAAAATTATAAAGGGTTAAGCAACTAGTACTATACAAAAGAATTATATAGTATTATTTATTGATTATTTCTGAGATCTATACATGGATTTTACAGAACTGAAAAAATAATTTCTCAGATTTATCAAAAATTTAAAAATGTTACAAAAAAATTAATTTTTTAGCTATGTCAAGTTCATTTCATTCAGTACAAAAAGTTTAGTATTTTAATAACCAAAACTACATCTTATACATTATGTTAACATTAACTTATGAATAACAAAGTGTAATAAAATTAACTGGTTTAACAAATGTGGATGACTGAACAATTAAAGACAGTAAATTTAAAAAAACATATGAAACCACAGTTTTAGCATAAAAATTTGTGTTCCTGGTTTACACTACCTTCCAGGACATAAAAAACAAGGTTTTCCAAATTATCTTGGTCTGAAACCTGCAAAATGTTTGTAGTAACACTTTCATTGCCATGATGTTCCACCAGCAAAGGACGCAACTGATTAACTTCTGGTGGGTAACGAGACACAACTTGTACAGGAATGACATTTACTGAGCTGTCTAGTTGGCGATCACTTACTTTCAGCTGAAATTTGCCTAAAAATCAGGACAACTGAAGAATTTATAAATCTTTTCAGAGTAGCACAATTAAACAAATACTGATTTTTAAACAATTTTTCTTTACCCTGGAACGATTAAGGTTCTGTAAGGAAAATATCATGCTGCACAAGATAAAAAATATGATATTAACAAAAACACTAAACATTTTTTTTTCAAAGAAGCATTCCAAAAGATCAAAATATGAATCATAAAACATAGGAAAAATAATGTATTATTAAAGAAAAAATCTAACATCTTTAGTTTTAAAATTAGAAAAATAAAAACATAATATTGTTTGAGTTTTTATCTATACTACTGAAAAAAGTATAAAATAAATTGTATAAAATTAAACACAGGTTTGAAAACCTCAATAAAAGTGTATTTAAAGACCTTTTCACACTTTTACTTTGTAAATAGTTCATATTTATTATGATGCTGTAGTATTACTCATAACTTCAAAATGTGCTTGAACTTAACCCATTGACTGCTGATTTGCACTATAGGGTACAGTCCACCTCCAGCAGTTAAAATGTGAGTGTGCCGTATAGGGTGTATGACTTGAAAACATTTCATGCACATTTAGAGCAGCCGCAGTCAATGGGTTAATCCATCAACACTACTTATACATTTTCAAAAATTCATGTTTAGAGCAGCTGCATTCAATGGGTTAATACATCAACACTACTTATACACTTTCAAAAATTCTCATTACTGTTTACGTATGCTAAACATGCTAAGGTAAAAGCACTGACGTTATAATATGAAAATATAATACAGATTAAGGATTAGTGATTCATAACTGATATTACATGATAAACAAATCATTAACATCTTGTCTTATCACCAGTTTCAATGATTGAAAAGTTTTATAACTGACATTTTCACAAACATAGCAAATATTATAAGTAATCTTTATGAAAAAATTCTTCAGTACCTGCCCAAGGAGCATTCTGCTTGTGTCTAAATTTGATCAGCCCACTAGCTACCTCGTCAAATGGCAAAACATCTCCAACATTAATCAGCTCCATTTCAGTTACAGTATGCCGTAATAAGTCACCATTATTTGGTGTTGTCACAACAACAAAGGCTAAATCTTTTTGATGAGTGTCAGGGTCACTAGCAGTGATGAAAGAAGTGTCAATAGGGGTGGGTGCTCGGAAGTCCACTAACAGAGAACCATTCAGAACCAGCTGAGGTGCGACTTGGTTGCCTGAATAAATCAGTTATGCATCTTATTCACTGAAATGTAATAATCTAAAAAGTATCCAATGGGAACAATAATAAATAACTTTTTCTTGATTCTTGTAAAGCTTTGGTCAATTTATATACATTTAAGACAACTAAACAAGATGTAGTACTTTGATTATTTTCTAGTGGTAAAAATGTATTCAGATTTTTTATTTTGAGTCTTCTTACTCCATACCAAATGGACTGTTTATATAACCTACACAATTTAAATCATCTAACTAAGCACAGAAAATTATTTTATAATACAGATCTCAGACTTTACTAAACTTACGTTCACAGACTCGGTTAACATGGTCCTCAAAATAACCAGAACCACATTCATTCACACAGCTGTTCTCTAGCATAAAGTATCCAGCAGCACAATGATCACAAGACAAGGGATTAGGGCAGTCAGTACAACCAGTCGAACATGCTGTCAGAAGAAGTAAAAACATATCAAGTAAAACATTAACAGACCTTGGTAAAACAAACTTCATACAAAACAGAAACACACAGTAAACCTAAACTGAAAGACAAGCTTAAAGTACTCAAATGCTGCAGAAATTTCTTTAAAAACTTAGGTAGAAAATATAGCTCCCTCTCACTATCTATTTCTGCAGATATAACCTTCATATTATGTATAGCTTCTTTTAAGTGTCATTCTTGGCAGATTTAACTTCCATATTGTGTATAGCTTATTCTAAATATTTATCTTAGCAAATACAACCTATACATTGTGTAAAGCTTTTTCAAATATTCATCTTGGCAGACCTAAATATCTATTTTGACATATACAACTTCCTCATTAATTTTGTATAGTTTCATCTAAACACCTATCTTAACAGGAGAGTCATCTATAACTTGCTATAAAAATCTACCTCGGCAGGTATGACTTCCATACTGTGGATAATATCCTGGTCCACAAGAAGCTACACATTCAGAATCCAATAGCAGGAGAGGGGGACGACAAGATGTACATAATGTTCTATCACTACAGGTTAGGCAGTCGCTGGAACACACTAAAATATTGCAGTTATGTAATTGTGAAAATAGCCTGATTCAAATTAAGTTATGAAAGAGTGAGCAAGTCCCATAAATAATACTCAATCTACTATTTAAGAATTTTACATTTAATGTTTTGCTAAAACTTAAACAACTTCAAATAAATTGATCTGGGAAAACTGTAGAATCTAAAATAATGACAAATTATCTAGAAACCTAACAAGTTGAAATGGTAAAATTTAACAAAAAAATTAATATGAACATAAGAAAGTATATCTAAGCTGCACTAACTTGTTTACAACATATTTAAAATTGAAATAAACTTTACTAATATATTTGATATCTTTATGAATTTTTCTACTTGTTATGTGATATGTGTCAAAGCAACTAGAGAGATTAAATACATACACATATATATTCCTAATGCCTAGTGTAACAACAATTTCTAATGATGTCAAGCCTACAGCCTATCAAATATTTCCACAATACAGTACAGCATACAACATATACTTCATCTCACTAGAATAAATGCACTTAAAACATAAATTCCAAGTATTTCATGACAATTTCTTTCTTCCAATAAAACATTTTCTCACATACAAAGTACTTTCATACATGTAGCATTTCAGCTAAGTCCATAAACAATAACTTACTAAAAGTAACTAGCTTTACACTACTTTCTGAAAAGAAGCTCCCACAGAAAACTAATATTTCAATAAAATGTTCTTACCTGGTTGACTCACTTTGCTCTATACTATCATTGTGGCATGTCAAAAGAACACAATTTTTTTTATGTTTCCAACAGACATACTTGTAATACCTAACACTAAAAATTACCTATTTGCTGCTCATACAATTTATGCCATTCAATTTGGATTTATTTCTTCTTACTGAGATAACCTAACTATTCAGTCATTTCCATTGGTGGAATTAGAAAATTATGTGTAAATATAATATCTCAAATATTTTTCATATAACCCAGGCTTTTAGCTATTCTTTTTTATTTTTATCTCATAATCTAAGCTTTAAATTGAACTTGTTAACTTTTAGTTAACCTGGTTGGTTGCTGAACTTAATGTTAATTATACTTAATATTTTTCTCCTAACCCTGCTCTAACTATATTATCTTCTCAGAGTCCAGGTTTTTAACAGTACTTAATATTTTTACTTTACCCTAGTTTATGGCTGTACTTCCTTTTTTTTTTTTTCATAATTCAGGTAACTATATTAAAATATTTTTCTTAAACATTGTTTCTAGTATACTTAATATTTATTCTCCTTTAACCTTACCTAATACATGTAGTTCCCTTTATCTATACTTTAACCCCAGATTTCTTAACAATATATATGATCAAAAATAATGATGATACATCTTTTATCCACAACACGATACATACTATTTACAAAGCATGTAGGGTAACAGTTAATTCGAACTCGACAGCTTTTGGAAGGAAGATCTTCAATCTTTTACTTTACCCTTGATGAAGGAAAGTCCTTCTTCAAAATGTAAACGAGATAAATGTATCCAGTTTCTTAAATTTAATATGTATTATTTGATGATATTTTCTATAAAAACAGCTCTATTATCATTAAACGAAATTAAAGTACTTGACCAACAATTAGTTTTTGTTTTTTGGTTATTTTTGCCAAATTATTTTCTAAAACTTAAACACAATTAACCATTTGATAACCTTAACATGTACATTAACTTTTGCTCAGTCCCTTTCACAAGAGTCTACTACTTAGCAATCAAATGATGAACCAAAAACAATATACAGGGATAACTTAACCAGAAACAACATATAACCTACCTTTACACAAGTAGCCATCTTGATAGTAGCCTTCACTACAGTGACTACGACACTCACCATCCTGCAACAATAACTCACCCATACATGATAAACAGTCATATGGAAAAGGACCACTACAAGTGTTACAGTTCCAGGAACACTCTAAGAAACATATGATTACCCATAAAAAGATGGATGAGGTTTAATCAAATACGAGAACAATAATATTATTTTCAACACACTTTCCTAATTTATTCTAATTACATTTATTTTCAAGACAAGATACCAATTCCAAATTTATAGCTTTTTCTTTAGTATTGTTTACAAAATTATATTCTGAAAATTTTATCATATAACAAAATTTGTAAAAAAATGAACCAGTAACTTAAATGAGAAAATTAACTCCTTGCCCTGCAATATTTAAAAGTAACTTTTTATTTATTATTGTTGCTTTTAAACTTGTTTCATAATTGTTTTTAGAAATAATTTTTGTACAAATATTCAAAATATTTCACCTCTACATTCTCCTGAAATGTGATCAATATAATACTGAGCATAACAGGATCCCACACATTCTCCAAACTGAAGTACCAGCTTATCTCGACACTGTTCACATCGACCCTCTATACTGCATCTTAGACAGTTATAGTCACAGGCTAGAGGCAAATCAATCAGTTTCTTTTAGCAAGGATAAAAAAAAAAACTTAATAAAATTTTTTTAAAACCAAAAACATAATTTACCAATTGTTTAAAATTCCTTCGATCTCTATAGGAAATGCTTTAATATACTTTATCTTAATAAACACTGATGATCAAAACATCATTATATAGACGTTTTAATAGATTAAGTAGTTAAAACTATTACAAAATATCATTTTAAATTTCTCAATCCTTTTAACAAATTTTTAAGACTTCTTTCATTAAAATTTTAGACTGAAATACTCCATTAAGAAACCTAACTTGGTGGTAAATAAAGCAATGTTTGCAAAGTATGATAATGTTGATAAATTTAAAACATACAGGTTCTAGTAAAGTTTCCATTTCTATACCTTACCATGACATGTCCCTCCAACATCATAATAGCCTTCCAAGCACCTGTTCAAGCATATTCCATTATGAGAAAGCACAGCTGATGGTGGACATGAGGTACAACCATCAACTCCGCGTATGTCACACGTCAGACATGAAGGATGACACTCTGTAAAAAAAAAACCATTATTACTCTTTTTTTCATAATTTCATTATCCAGACACAAGTATATCTGTTTGGGTTGTAAGTGGTTTAAATTTCATCTACATACAAAAAAATAATTATTTTAAACTTCGTATAAAAAGATAAATCTACATACCAAATGTTATATATATAGATACGTGTGTGTGTGTGTTCAAATTTTGAATATTAAACTTTTAAACAGTAAATAAAGCCAGCTTTCAACACTATTTTACTGATTAAAACACAAATACCTCCAAAAGAACATTTAAAACTGACTGTGATAAACAACAAAAGATTCTCACATTTTAAAAGTTAGTATAAATCAAAAATAAAATGTGAAAAACTGATTTTACTCGTTATAATGCAATGAACTCCTGAGGAAAGAATATTTTTCAAGGTTATAGCCAGAGATTAAGATGTAAATGAGTTAAAAGTAAAAGAAAGTATATTAGCAAATAAACATAAACCAGAATGGAATGAGACTAGTAATCAATGAATTATTTTCATTGTTACACATCTAAGCTAAACTTTCTAAACGGACAGTAATAATAAACTGAAAAGGTGAAGGTTGTAAAGAATTGTTGAAATTCACTTTGATATTTCACGCAAAGATTAACAAAAAACAACACCCTTGAGTATTAATGTATAAAAATCAACAGCAGTAATTTTTATTTAATATTATTAATTGTGTATTATGTGACACTTTTACACTTTAATAGTTGACATTACTTACTTTCACAAAGCATATGCTCATTCAGAAAGAAACTCTTGTCACATTTTGACACACACCTTCCTCCCTGAGGAAATTTTTCTTCATCTTTACAGGCTATGCATTCAGGAGATGATGCACCAAGTTTTAAAACACATGTAATGCAGTCACGGTGACAATCTAAACAGGTAAAATAATGAGTATCGTTTAAATAAATTCATGGTATCTTTATGATTAAGTACACTCTGTAAAGGTTTCTATAACATAAAATTTCTAAAAGTACTAGTGACTATAATATATCAACTACAAAATAAAACATTTAATGAATGTTCTTAGAGTTTTAAAGAAAGTATGTTTTGCACTAACCTTTACATATCCCATCAGTGTCCAAGTATGTTCCATCAAGACAGCTTATCTGACACCTTCCATACACTGATTTAACATCACCATGACAACTAGTACATTCATCTGCTCCCCAACCATAACAAGTGGCACAATTTGGATGACATGCTGAGAAAACATTCAAAAGATTAAGCTTGAATAATTGATATGCATTGAAGTGAGAATGATCACATCAGTGATTGAAACATCATACTTGTATAAAAACACTTTTCCTAACTATAAAAACTGTAACTTGTAAAAGTACAACCTATACAAAACTATTGACTTCAATAAAATACACTTGGTTCCACATATATATATACTGTTTTCTTTCTAATCTTCATTGATATAGAACTAATGACTTCACTGAACATGTTGTCTCATACATACAATATTTTCTGCATTTAATTAATATAGAACTTATAGGCTTCACCTAAACATTGCTAGTACATACAACATTCTTTCTTCCCCCAATTCATATAAAGCAAAAAAAAAAATCATTAAAGCTATGCTACCTTACATTAACAATGCTCCCTTCATGAGACTTCATCAATATCAAATTAATAACTTAACTTCACTGAAACATACACAAATGGTTCACACAGGTTAATGGAAAAAAATTCTAAGACCAAACTGTCATTTTTGAGGATCTAATTTATTGATTTTAACAGAATGTGAACTCCACCAAAATTAAATAACTAATATTTTAATATGTTTTATAAAACATGAAGTAACAGCTGTAGAAAATATTCTAATAATAACAGTAATACCTGAGTTATCGAAACAATTTACTCAAGCAAAGAAAGAATATGAAAAAAGCCATTAAAAGAAATTCCAACTGACTGTGCATTACTGAACAAAATACTAATGAATTTCTATTCAATCAATTACAGTCCCGTAGTTTACTTCAATTTTTACCAACTTCAGTTTAATAACAAGTGATAATCTTCTGCATCTTTCACTCAAGTACTGTGCTTTGGCCAAAGCTAAAAACTTCTCCAGCATGTAAGAAAAACCAAATAATACTTATTGAACATACTATTTCAACTTGCCAATAGGACAAGTGAACTTGTACCTGATTGGATACTGAGCATATATCATAACATCACCATGCCAACAAAGAAAAGATTCCCACTCATATTGTTACTGAGATAACTCTCATAGTGTTGTATGCATTAATAATGTTGTATATTTCATGATCTTGCCATACAATTGCATTATATTATTTTTAGACTTTTCTTAGTTTAATGCTGCAATTCCACCTAACAAAGAACTTTTCAAAGAATTGGAAATATTCTCAGTCAATAAGACCTTTATATTTCAATGTGGTGTTCAGCCCATAAGTGTTCTTGTATGATAACACATACTTGTGTTTGAATGATATTGAAAACAATAATTATTCTGAATAATTTTATTCATTTTAGATCTGAAACAAAAAACTAATAACAACACAAAATGAGAAAAAATAATCGTAATAACATATATCGCAATACTTTACTTACAGTACTGACTTTCCCAAAATATTTTGTAATGGGGTTTAAAATGTCCTAAGAGCATCCTGGTTTAGATCAATCACTGTATAAATAATGAATGACCTAATCAGGTATAAAGTGACAAACTGTCTTTAATGGTATAAGAATATTTCATGCACGGTGGTTAGGTTTAAAATACTCATTTCATTGTATTGTTACCTTTTGGATTTATACTTCTTTCTCTCTGTTTTATTCATGAATTTTGGACAGTAACTTATGTAAAACTTAGAATATAAATATTGTTAAATATTTCTCTGAAGTGTTTATGCTCAAGATGTAATTAGGATAACTGTGAAACATCCATATACATTCTTTATCCTATCAACAACTTTATGATTTTAGATTTACAACAAATGAGACTTGGGTTTTAATTTCTGCTAACAACATTATTCCAGCAATAGTCACATGAAACCAGTTCACTTGAAGACAGAGTCATATAGTTCAAAGCCTTACTGACCACGTACATTTTCTAGAAACTGCTTTTTTGAAACTGGGATAAATACAATGGTGCAACTTGTCATCAATAAAAATGTGAGATGTGGAAGTGATGGGGGTTAAGGATTTTATAGACTTTTCCAGGACCTCCTGATGAAAAACCACTGATTTTACAAGATTTCCAGGACTGAAAATTAATATTTTATTACACTGAAAATGTATTTCCAATAGGTACTTACTTCCACTATCTTTATCCTGCTTTTCCCTCTAAGCATTGCTAAAAACATTTTCGCTAACAGTGCACCTGTCTTTAATACCCCTTCATTTTGCACCATTTCAAAATATGTGTTGATCGTGTGACTAGCCGACACCAATCATACAGTGCTATCAATACTAGTGCAGCTAGCTCCCTCTACTATTTTAACACAGTCTTTACTCTCGAGAACTGGCAGGTACAAAATAGAAATACTGGCATATCAGTGGAGAGGAAGAGTAGGAAGTGGGTTAGTAGAGGTAAGTACCTATCAGAAATACATTTTCAGTGTAAGAAAATGTTAACTTCCAAAATTGTACTACCTCTTCTCACCCAAAGATAGAATCACACATTGCAAAGGTGGAGGGGCAAGTGTGAGTGACTGACTGAGCATGGGAAGAGGCAAGCAGTAGCCAGTCATCCATGTAATGATGAGTCCAAAGACCCAGCAAGTGAAGATGACATGCAACAGAGTATTAATCAACAAAACACATACGGAGCTGATGAAAGACCAAACGGCAGTGCCCAGAACTGCAAGACAAAACCATTGTGGATGAACAGAAGAAAATGACATAACACTGGGTCAATTGGAATATGAGGCATCTGTCACATTGTGCCCAGAACTGCAAGACAAAACCGTCATGGATGAACAGAAGAAAATGACATAACACTGGGTCAATTGGAATATGAGGCATCTGTCACATTGAACTTGGTCAACCAAAGTCCCAGGGAAAAAAACCACTGAAATGAGAAGTAGGACTCCATGGTGAAGTGAGGTGTCTTCAGATAGATATACAGCCAGGACAGATCTATGATGGGTTTCCAATCTTCAATGTTTTTAGAGACACTAAATAGATGGGAGTAAAATCCCAGTTGAATGGGCACCACTCAATCGATAGCTCCTTTGTGTAAGAAGTCTCAAACAGACTCAGCAAGAGGACTGAATAAGGTATGATCCCAAGGAGGAGGAGGGAAGGAGATCTGGGAAGTGGATAGAGGGGAAGCAGAACTGAAGGCAGAAACCTTTAGATAAAACACGTAGAACCTACAGAACTGTTGGGAAGTGTAGTTAAAAAAATAATAAGCTAAACAAAATTAGAGAAAGTACCTAATACTAACAAACTAAAAAACTTAGAAATTTATAGAATCTACGAAGTACATAAAAATAACAAACCTGCAAAACTATGAAATTATACCTAAAACAATAAGCATCACCTAAAGTAAAAAACGACTAAAGGAGCTTAGAACATAAAAGACCCTTAAATATTGAACATACAAGTCCACCTAAAGAACCTATAAGACCAAGTAAACGAAAGTAAAACCTACCCTGAAAAACACAAGAATAAAGTCACTCAGTTAACAATAACAAATTTTGACTCAAGTCTAATCCGCAATTAGATGTAACTAGTAGTAAAGAAAAAGGAACTTACAAATTAAATTACATAAACTATGTAAAGAAGTAAAAATAACGAACCAACACACCCACATAATTAGCCGAAGATACAATTACTCAAACAGTAACAATCATGCAAAACTAGTACATTTACCGAAAATTAAACAAAAACGAAATAATAATCAAACTCTAAATGCAAATTTAAACTAAACTAACTGAGATTGTAAAAGAACTATAAAAATAGAAATTACCAAATACTGAGCAGGAAAGACATGAAAGACCTAAATTATCTAGTGCGGAAATTAGGTCCATCCACACAAGAACACATAAACTTGTTAAACATGGGTATAACTACTGGGAGTAAGAAATACACACTGAAAAATTTATCACAGATCTCCTGGGAAGAAGAACAATACCTAACCCAGCAGATTACATGGAGGTACAGTAACAGTTGGAAAGTGCTATAGAAAAAAATTTACTCACAGTAGTTATATCCTTCTTCACAAAAAATCATAACATGAAAGGAAGAAATCATCAGCTGACTATAAGACAAGAACTTCCCGTTAACTAAAGCCTGTACTTCCCCAGCGACATCATTAACCCTGAGACCTGGGGACTCATGTCAGAACCATTGTCTACTAATGCAGGAATTTCATCATCCATCATATTAAATCTTGAATCCATATGAACAAATTAAAATTTGGAAAACAAAAACATTTCTGAAACAAACGAGTAGAAACAATGGAAATCAAACACTAGAAGTCAAAACTTCAAATTCAAACTGATATAAATTGATCAAAATTTTGTAGTCATGCACATGGAAAATGAGGTAAAACACATGTCTATACACTAGAATGCCAATCGAGAAGGTGAGGGAGCTAACTGCACTAGTATAGATTGTGTAGTATGATTGGTGGAGGTTAGTCACATGATCAGCATATGTTCTGAAATGGCACAGATAGACTGGTGTTCTGTTAGCGAAATTTATTTAGCAATGCTTAGAGGGCAAACCAAGATTGAGATAGCTTTGAGTGAGCGGAAGTAGTACCGTTTCGGAAAATATGTTTTCAAAATTTCATGACTTTTCAGTATTTTTATGACCTATGCAAACAATCTGCATAGCACATAAGCTAGCAAATTAAATTTGTTAAAGAGTAATAAGTAACAGATAATTACATAAATAGTATATTCAATTCTAAAGAAGAAATAAAGCATAAATATGAACAACAGATATAATTATCCTAGACTAATTATTAAAAACTGGTGATATCAATAAGGAACATATTGTTTGTGTTCTAAATCAACTTGTTCACACATCATACTCTACCTCGACATATGCCTGCATCATGATAAAAACCTGTCCCACAGTCTTCTACACACAGACCATTTTTTAGCATTTTTGGAGATTTGCAAGTCGAGCATTCATCTAGGTTTGATCCAAGGCAAGTTTGACAGCTCTCATGGCATGCTGATATTAAGATAAACACACATAAAAGCTCAAAAATTTCTTCTAATTACAATTAAATAATATTGTCTTTAAAATTAGAATATCATACTTGTAATTCAATAAAAAAAGATAATTTCAATTAAGTCAATAGTACTTGATAATAAATTTTAACTTGCTTTTCTATATTAATTATTACAAATATAACCAATTAGATAAAAGATACTTTTAGAAACAAATAAAATGATAAAAACCCTATAACCCAAGTGCTTTCGAAAGGTGGACCTTTCTTCTTCAGGAGCAAACTGGGAATGGTGGTGTAAATCAAATGAGTAACATATAAAAGGAGTTGAGTGACATCATGAACATCATGTACTGTTGTGTCTCATTTTCGGGAAATTTGTAGCCAGCAACGAGAGCATTATGTAAAAAGGTGTTAGGGATATCTTGCTTTAGAATTTGCTAAAAATATATATATATATATATATATATATA